GCCAACATCCTAGAGGGGTCATTCCAGATCCTTTCAAACAACAGGGAACTATGGGCCCTGCTCTGCTTTTTCCACTCTGGGCTTTGGTCTGGGCATCTCTCTGGGCCCACAGAGTTCCCGGATTCATGCTGAGTGAGGGGTGGGAGGGACAGGGAGATGAGGAAGAAATAGACTCAGAACTCCATGGTGAGTCTAGAAAGCTGCACATAATGGGAAGGGCAGGAGCATCGGATGCATGTGGGGCCTGAGTGGGCACGGAGACTGGGCGAGGCAGCATCAGAAGCACCTTGAATTTATCTCGTGGCCAGCCAGCTGCTAACTGCAGTCATGCTTTTGGTTATAGCCCGGTAGTCTGTCCTATTATTTCCTTAATATTTTACTTTATACAAAAGCCACCTTAAAACACTGAATTCATGGAAGCTCTTGTAAATGGAAAATCAGTATCATGTCCTATAAATAGATGGGAACCATAAAAACAAACAGTGTTGTTAAATCTACCTGGAGACTATTGGCGTGCAGAGAGAGAGAGCTCTGAGCTTGAGGCCGGCCCTCTCCTTGTGAAAAAGGGAGAACAGCAGTGTTAAAGATAGGCCGTTCTGTGTGGTGGCCACCGGCCACATGGAGCTGTGTACGTTTGAATTCGAGTGAAATAATACAAGAAACTCAGCTCTTCAATCGCACTGGGCCCATTTCAAGAGCTCGTTGCCACAGGGGCCGATACCACCACACCGAACCACGCAGATCTACAACGTCCCCATCATCACAGGAAGGTCTATCGGATGCCACTGTTCTGGACTGAATTGAGACTTAATAAGCCTGGGGTTTCTCCCAGGACGGGCTGTGGCTTCTCCCCCATCTGACCTCCCAGGGCTGAGCACAATCTCTGCCCATAGGTTTTGCCTCCAACAACCCTGCTCCCCATTCACTCAGCTCCTGTCTGAGCTTGAGGGTCCCCCCTGGAGGATGGAGCCTGGCACCTCGTTCCCTGTAGGCTGGCCTCTCTTCCTGCATGTGGGCCCTGCTGCCTCTTTCTGAGGCCCCAGGGGCTCACTGTCCTTGTCACTGTCCGAAAACGGAGGCTAGGCAGTGAGTTTCAGGACACGAATCCTTGCAATTAGTTGTCCTTGGCTCTGAGCCCCAGACATGTTGAGGAAGGTGCCCCAGGATGCCAGCTGTGCCCACTGTGGCCCCCTATCAGTGATAGGTTGCTAGGCAGCCAAGAAAGGGTGGATGAGGGGATGGGATCCAACCCCAGCCTCTGCTTTTAGGGATGAGGCAGGCGACAATGAAGGGAGGTCTCTCTTGCCTTGGGTTCCCTTATTGTGTGCTGTCACAATCAGGGACAGCCTGGCAGTGACCAATAAAAAGCAGGAATGACTGCTTAATGGCCAAGGCAGCAGGACGGAGGGGCATTGCCCAAGATAGGATGACCTCCCAGCTGTGGCTGCAGCCCACCGTGTCATGACCCATCATGCCCTTTGACACGGCCAGCCTTTGTACATGCCTTCCCCCTTCCCAGAATGCCTTTCCCTTCATCTCCACTTGACATCTAAGAGGATATTAGGTTATTGGGAGTGGGGGCGGGCAGGTTGTCCTTTGTGGAAGGGGCCTAGACCTATTCATGTAACAAACATTTGAAGCAATTGAGTAAGAACAGGGGTGGGGACAAGACACCATTGCATTTCCTCCTTCCATGCCTTCCTTCCTCCCTTCATTTCTTCCTGTCTTCTTCCTTTCCTTAGTTTTTGTAATATTTTCCCAAAATGCAATAGTGTCGTTGTTTAAATGATCATCATTTTAAAAATATGAAACAATAAACAAGTATAAAGAAGGAAACAAAATCTCTATCACCCTAAGGTTAACACTTGTTAACTTTTTTTTTTTTAAAGGTTTTATTTAGGAATTGGGGGAGGGAACAGCGTTGGGGAATCGGGGAAGGGGAACAGACAAGTTGCTATCCTTTGGTTCTTCAGTCTAGCTGTGGAGGACGTGGCTTCACTGGCCCATGTTGGTACTACCATTGTGCTCTTCCCGGGTGAGGCAGTCGCTGGCCGGCCCTTGGACAGCCGCTCACGGCGGCTCATGGTAACTCACAAACACTCACGCCAGCTGCTGACCAGCCCCACTGCAGCCTACACCATCGCCGGCGACTCACAGCAGCCCAGCTCCAGGTTGAGCTGTTGTTCACCATCTTAGCTGTAGAGGGCAAAGTGTCACTGGCCCTCATGTGGGATCCGAACCGGGACCCTGCTGCTCAGAGCTGGCATTCCAAGCCAACTCCTAACCAACGCACCACTCGGCTGGCCCAACACTTGTTAACTTTTGACTGTAATGTTCATACTGTGTCATGCACACTTTTTCCAAAAGTGGGATTGATCTTTGCACACTGGTTTCTACCTTGCCCTTTTCTTAAAATATGGCTTATTGAGGTTTAGTTAATATACAGTAAAATTCTCCCTTTGTTGCAGAATGTAGTCCTAGGAATTTTGACAAATGTATTTCATCATGAAACCACCCGAGTCCTATGTCATGGACATTCTTCCGTGTCAGTGGGAATAACCTAAATACCCAAATGTCAGGGATTTTTTAATATATTGGGGGTACCAAAAATGTATACAAGTGGACACTTTGGTCAATGTTGCTCAAGCAGTAGTTTGTCATAATCCAAAGTGTCTGGACACTGATGGTAACCACTTTGAGCACCTCTTGTAATTGCAGAAGTCAAACGTGACTTGTATTCATCTTTTGGTGTTGGTATATATTGAGTATGTATTACAATTTTAATACAGTTTTCCTTTCTTAAAATGTGTATACTTTTTTTTGGCACCCTCTGTATACGTAAAGGAATAGTTGCATCATAAAACATTTAACCAATCCCCTAGGGCTGGGCATGGACGTTGCTTCCCACCCTTCCTGTTGATAAACAACGCTGTGGGGAACATCCTTCTTCTTATGCTCAGAATCGGGATCTCATCCTCGGTGCAGTGATGGGCCTGAAGGTGGGCACGAAGCACCCCTCCATCTTACCAGGCCCTGTCCTCTTCCCGCCTCTCACCTGGCTGTAGGGAACCGGCTGGACGAGGGCTCAGATGTGGAATCGGAACCCGACCTCCCTCTGAAGCGTAAGCAGCGCCGCAGTCGGACCACATTCACGGCCGAGCAACTGGAGGAGCTGGAGAAGGCCTTCGAGAGGACACACTACCCCGACATCTACACCCGCGAGGAGCTGGCCCAGAGGACCAAGCTGACTGAGGCGCGCGTCCAGGTGAGGAGGCGTTTCAGGTGTTCCCACTGCAGGCAGAATCCACAGGGTTGAGAAGGTGGCCAGGGTCTGAAGGATCAGGGGGGCCTCTGGGGGGGGTTCTGCAGCAGGTGGTCGGGAACCGTAGACAAGTAATGCCACCGGCACTTGATGCAGAGTAAGTGAGTAGCAAATCTTGGTTGACTGACTGACTGACTGACTGACTGATGGAGCGGTGGACAGCCCCATGGAAGCCAGGAGCTGAAGTGAGGTCTGTTGGTTTGTGTTCACCTCTCCAGACAACAAGTACTTCAGGAAAAAGAGGGAAGAAGGGATGGAGGGAGAGATGGAGAGATGGAGAGGAAGAGAAGAGCAAGAGAGGGAATGAGGAGAAGGGAAGAAGGAAGGAAGGAAGGAAGGAAGGAAGGAAGGAAGGAAGG